CAGTCTACGCGCACCCAGCCACGCCTCGGTTGCCGGCGAGAGCGGCGGGTTGTCGTCGCCGAGCTGCTCCATGATGGAGAGGCCGTTGGCCGCTCTTGTGTTCGAAGAGCGCGAAGGAAGAATTTGCCAGCGCGCGCGCAGCAGTACGCGGCACTACGCAGCACTACGCAGCACTACGCGGCACTACCTGTACAGGTATTGCGTGGGGGCGGTACGTATTGCCGTATCACTAGCTCCGAGTAGAGGGGGCGTCCTGCAGTTAACCCTTTTGCTTCATAAGGGTCCTGAGGACCAAATAAATCTCGATATATCTCCAGTCGTAGCGGTGGAACTTTAAAACGGCTCGGTAAATATTTAGCCATATATGAGAGGATTACGGCACAGTGTCGTTTGAGTCGACAGTAACTCTCCCACAGCCCACGTAACTCCGTCTTTTTCAGGCACCCGGAGCCCGCCGCGGCCGCTTCTACGCCGGCGAAGCACCATCAAGCTGCTGTACGGCCCCGGCATCGCCTCCCCTGGCTTAGCTCTCAGTCAAGAGATTGTGCACATGGGTGGCCTCTACAATATACTCACTGACACTGAACCTCCCAGAGCTCGTCCCGGTCCGTCACGGCCATCCTCGTCCTCCGGCGGGCCCCCGGCCGCGGCGCGGTGCGGCGGCGTCACAAATCCGACCACAGAGCACCGGGACGCGGTCGGGCGATCTGAGGCCCAGGTAGGCGAATGCATTGCCCATCCAGGGCTATCACCTGGACCTATCAACAGGCGCCTGCGGCGCCGTGCTCAGGAGTTGGTTTTCACTCGCTCGAAATGTGTACGTAAAAGGGTTAAGGGGAAACCTGGTACGCGGGTCCAACTCTCGGAGAGTATTCTCGTATTCGGTTAGCTCCGACCGAGAGAGAGAGAGAGGGGGCGTCCTGCAGTTAAGGGGAAACCTGGTACGCGGGTCCAACTCTCGGAGAGTATTCTCGTATTCGGTTAGCTCCGACCGAGAGAGAGAGAGAGGGGGCGTTCTGCAGTGAAGGGGAAACCTGGTACGCGGGTCCAAAACTCTCGGAGAGTATTCTCGTATTCGGTTAGCTCCGACCGAGTCCGAGAGAGAGGGGGGGGGGGCGTTCTGCAGTTAAGGGGAAACCCGGTAGCGGTAGGTACACGGAACTAACAAACGAGTGTTAGAGTTGTTTGGTATTGCTAAAAATCTCTCTCGGAACTAACCCTCGGAGACCCGTGTTTACTTTACGGCCCTTTTTCCCTGCGAACGCGCACCCCCCACCCAGGGCTAGGGCTCTCTTGCCTGTCTCTTGCCCGCAACCCGATGCCAATCATCTGGCCCGCTGGGTGTGCTCTTACCTCTTAGCCCACCGGCCCTGGATGGATGTCTGCCAGAGCGCGCCGTCTGTGCAGCTCGAGCGCCGTCAGGTGCAGGGAAGCGTGGCGACGCGGGGACGCGCGGCGGCGGCGGCGAGCAGGCGAGCGGCCCGCGCGCGGCGAGGCAGACAGGTGATCGGCAGGCGGGTCATGGGCCGGAGAGTGACCGCGGCAGCGATCGGAGACGGGCCGATCGTCGCTCGGCCGCAGCTGACCTTGAAGGCGTGCGGAGCGCGACTGTCGGTGTCGGGGGGCGGCCGTCATTTGGCGAGGAGGGAGGACGACAAGTGCGCGTCGTACGGGTCGCTCTTTATCGGCCAGTCGAGCGGACGGGCGTCGGTCAAAGCAAAGAGGGCCGGTGAGGCCGGCGAGATTCGTTGCGAGATACGGTTCGCGCCCATCCAAGTTTGGACGCTCTGGGGACGCGCCCAAAATCAAGCCATTGGAAAGGGGGCTACTGGGGCGGCCAAATTCACACCTCGCGGGACTACTTATGTTTTCGTAAACGTAGTTGTGGCCCCCCGCTACGTCGCACGACTGCGACTGGGTAGCGGGGGGCTAAAATGTGATACTGCGCTGGGTTTTTAGGCATTGTGGGATTGGCACTCCCATCGATCCTCATGACCTCCTGCGGTCTCTGAGATGGACACCAGTGGGTGTGGGACCACAGCCAGGATACACTCGAAGGCTGGGTAAGCAGTAGAGGTCGATACTCGACGCGTCCCACATGGTCTGTGTCTCTCTGTCGGCACGCTGTCGACAGGACGTCGAGCGACACCGGTGGCAGTGCCACCCAGGAGTGGTCGGGCGGTCTCCCGTCATGAGAGAGTCACCATGTGATCCGTATGATGTTTCCTGACAACCACCTCAGTCAACTTTCGTCACAGTTCCCGCTCTGAGAGGAGCTGCGGGTCAGTTCGACAGCTGGAGCTCCCGGGGGGTCGACGGGCCCCCGGGGGCGACGGGGGTGCTCTGGGGGGGGGTCCCCCCAGTCAAGGGGGTCTGGGGCGCAGCCCCAGGAGGCCCGCCGCAGGCGCCGATTTTTTGGGGCTTTTTCGACTGATTTTCATGAGGCGTTGCTACTATTTTTTGGGACCAGTTGAAGCCTAAAAATGGCTACAAATACAGCCACAACAGCTGCTAGTCGTGAGCTGCTACTGTGTGGCAGAGCAGAGAGAGGGCTTTCAGGAGCACTATTCAGTTTGATCCATCTCAACGTTGCGGAGTAGTAACACTGTTCCGTTACCGTGAGCGGCCGGCGGCCGGCGGCGGCCGGTGCGGCACGCGGAGCACTCCGTGAGCAGTGACGGGTGCGGACGAGCGAATGAGAGGTCCCTTTCGGTGAGAGATAGACAGCCCTAGTCTCTAATAACACATCTCCCACAGACAGCGACCTCTCATTCGCTCATCCGCGCCCGTCACTGCTAGTCGGGGGCACTCCCGGCGTGCGGCCCGGTCCCGGTCGTCACTCCGGTTGCTCGTGTTCACACCGTCAGAACTCAGCTCCGCTAAGGATTCAGTGTCTGAGACTTGGGCATCTTACACAACTTTTGTAGTAGAGCACAATGGCACCCTTGCATCAAGTGCATCACTTCATTACTAGACCGTACTAGAGGTCCCCGTTTTCGGCCGCCGCGGCCGGAGAGCACCCCCGTCGCCCCCGGGGGCCCGTCGACCCCCCAGGCTGGAGCTGTGTCGCCGGCGTGCGGCGGCCTGCCTCCGGAGGTGCCTCTGAGCTGGACATTTTTTGGTCACCGTGAGAGAATGTGTTCGAATTTTTACTCGGGAACTTCAACTCTGCAGGCGCACCGGCCAGGGCTACTGAGGCGGAGGGGGGGCGCGAGTCGAAAAAAAAGGAAAGTTCCTGACATTTACCTACAATTAAAATACCTGTGTGGGCGACGGCTAGCGCATCACACCCCTCTTCTTACAAGGGTGGGCGACGGCCTCTGGGGGGAGGATGGGGCCCCCGGAGGCACCGTGCGCCGCGCAGCAGTGCGGAAACGGGGCTCCGGCTCCGTTAGTCTCCGTTAGCACCGACTTCCCGAATGAGTACGGTTGAGTAGAGGGCAGATTTGGAGAGATCTCGAGGAGTACATACAGATAGACCCTCCAACCATCAGAAAACTCCGACCTGATCGGTCGTACTGACCGCCGACAGATCACTCCAGACAGCAGACAGGCCGACGTCTGCATTGGTGACACGAGACCACCACGTTTGCCGGTCCAAGAGAGAGGCACCGGCGCTGTCCTGAGAAGGTGCATGGTCCCTCTTGACTGCCCATGCGCGCGAGGCTGTGTAGGCATAGCCTCGAGAGTGCCAGCAGCCAATCCGAGGCAGTTTGTGACGCGCATTGCGTCAGAAGCGTGCACGCGCTGGAAGGACACCTTCCTACTGGCCGTACGATCAGGTCGTCACTGAATGCCGAAGACTAAGGCCGCGAGCTATGCAGGCGGTCAGTTGAGCAGCATGGCACGGTCAGCAGCGCCGAAAGGATGTCGCAAGGCGTGATAGCATGGCCGCAAGTACGCCGAATTCCCATGAAAACAAGTAAAAAATCGCGCGAAAAAGAAAAAATGTCAAAAAAATCGGCGCCTGCGGCGGGCTGGGGGACCCCATCCCCCCCCCGCATGGGTACCCCCTAGGGCCCTCGCCTCCCCCCAGAGGCGACGGCTAGCGCATCACACCCCTCTCCTTAAAAATCCCTGTGTGGTGGCCGGCGCGCCGTCCTCCCATCCCTCCCTTGGTTTGTCTGAGTTTTCTTTCTTTTCTTTCTTTCATTTACCTACAATCGCTGTGAACCCAGCCACGTATTCCTGGCTAAGCCCATCCGGTTCCGCTCTACCCTCTCTCCCACTTCACGCCTCCACAAAGAACAGGTGCTGCCCCGGGTCGAGTCCCAGCGAGGAGAGGGAGACGCCGCCGTCCGCTGGCCGCTCCAGCAGGCGGCGCGGGAAACCCGTCGCGAGGCGGAAGCCCGGCGGCAGCGCCTCTCCCGCCGGCGCCTCCGCCTCCGCCAGCCACCAGAGCGCCAGCAGCGGCTCCTCCGGCCGCAGCCGCGCGGTGCCCCGCGTACCGTCGGGCCGCCGGACTGCACACTGCAGGGCGGCCTCCTCCCCGCCGCGTGACCCTAGGAGCGCGCCGAGGGCGTCGGAGGCGACCCTGCGCCGCGCCTCCGCCTCCGCCTCCGCCTCCGCCTTCTCCCTCGCCGCCGCCGCCTCCGCCGCCGCCTCCGCCGCCGCGCACGCCTCCGCCTCCGCCTGCTGCCGCCGCCTCGCCTCCGCCTCCGCCTCCGCCTCCCGCTCCGCCACCCCCTCCGCCTCGGCCGACGGCGCGAGGTCCACCTCGAGGTCGACGTCTACCAAGCACGCGGACCGCACAGGCACGCCTCCGCCGCCTCCGCCTCCGGCCGCCGCGTCCTCCGGCCGCCGCGTCGAGCACGCCGAGCAGCTGGCGCGGCCCGGCGGGTTAATCAGCGTGCAGACGCCGCACGCCCACGGCTTGGCGTCGAGGGACCGCAGCGCGGCGCCCACGTCAAGCATCGTGCCCGGCAACCCGCACCGCTCCCCCGGCGTGCCGCGCAGCGCGGTGACGTCTAGCGCGTGCCGCTGCCCGTCGATCGCCAGCTGGATGGTGTCGCCGACCTGCGGGGAAGGCCCAGGAAGGGGTCCGACAGAGGCCTTCCTTTCTCCGCGGCTCCGCTGCACGCTGCTGCCTAGGGAGTGTCTAGGAAGTGTCTAGGAAGTGGCTCCGCTGCACGCTGCTGCCTAGGGAGTGTCTAGGAAGTGTCTAGGAAGTGGCTCCGCTGCACGCTGCTGCCTAGGGAGTGTCTAGGAAGTGTCTAGGAAGTGGCTCCGCTGCACGCTGCTGCCTAGGAAGTGTCTAGGAAGTGTCTAGGAAGTGGCTCCGCTGCACGCTGCTGCCGCGCACCGAGACGGCGACGAAGCGGTTGATGAGCTGCGTCAGCAGCTGGCGCGGGTCTGCGTCGCGGCCGAGCGAGGCGGCGAAGGCGTCCGTGTGGGGCTGGAGCCGGACCCACGTGGCGCGCGGCAACGCGACCACAGAGACGAGTGCCTCCTCGCCGGCAGCGACGCCGAGCGAAGTGAGGACCCAACGCGGGACAAGCGCCGCCGCGAGAGCGCCGCCGTCGAAGCTGCCACCGCCGCCCGCCGCCGCAATGGAGGCGTCTTCGACAAACTCGTCGACTCCGACGCAGACGGCCGACTCGCGGTGGGAAAGCCTACAGGAAGGCTCCGAGAAAGTTCCTGAGAAAGCTCCGAGTATGAAGCAGGCGGCCGCCCCGGTGGGAGCGCCGCAGCAGCAGCGTGCGCGGCAGCTCGCCTGCCGAGGGGGGGGGGGGGGGCGGAGATCACCCGAGACGGGCCCGAGACAGACCCCCCGAGACGGGCCCGAGACAGACCCGAGACAGGCCCGAGATGGCCCGAGATGGCCCGAGATAGACCCGAGATGGCCCGAGCTGCTCGCCTCCGAGGACGAGAGCGAGCGCGCGCAGCCACGAGCGAGGGACGACGACCTGCGGGGGCAGAGCTCCGAGACGGGTCCACAGCACCCCACCCGAGGAGAGGCCGCGAGGAGGGCGCCAGCCGCCGCCTTGCCGGTCCCGTCCAGGGTGGGCCTTCCTGCCGCGGCGGCCGAGAGGAGCCGCGCCCGCTGGCTGAAGGTGAGCAGGACCTGTGCATCGCCGGCATCGCCGTCGCACTTCGGGACGGGAGCCACGCCCTCCCGCTCGCCGCCTGCCGGCTCGTCCGGCTGCTCCGTTCCGCGCAGAAGGGCGGCGACGAGCTCCGCCTGCTCACACTCCAGCGACTGTGAGTGAAGGAACACTCCTCACACTCCAGCGACCAGGCGGCGACCAGCCCGCCTTCTCGACGAGCCCGACCGTCGGTATGCCCCGCGCCTGCAGCCGCGCGCGCAGCTCCCGGATGGGGAGGCCGGAGAGGACAGCCTCGGTCTCCGTGGACATCAGCAGCGCTTGCCGCATCAGCTCCGCCTCCTCCTCCTCGTCACCATCGCCCTCCTCCTCGTCCTCGCCCTCGCCCTCGCCCTCGCCCTCGCCCTCGCCCTCGCCCTCGCCCTCGCCCTCGCCCTCGCCCTCGCCCTCGCCCTCGCCCTCGCCCTCGCCCTCGCCCTCGCCCTCGCCCTCAGGCTCGCCCGCCTGTGCCTCGCGCTCGGACATCTCCTCCGCGTCCTCGTCGCATGAGGCCTCGCATGAGGCCTCAGCTCCGCCGCTGTACCGGTCGGAAACCTCTGCCTCACGCATCGGCGAGTCCGTCACTGTACCCACCTCGTGCGCCATCAGCGCGTCGACGAGGTCGCGCTTGTCGCTGAGGCCGGCGAGGTCCAAGCCCGCGGCGCGACACCGGTGAAGCAGCTCCCGAGTCGGAAGCGATCCGAGGTCGGCGGCGTCCATCGTGGACAAGCGAGAGTGGGTACAAGTCCGCCCACTAGAAATGATTTTCCGTCGATGATAAACAAACTTCAGTTTGTGCTAGTGAACTGAGGAGAAGCGGGTCGAGCCTCGGCGCAGAGGGCAGCGCCTAGCGGGCGGGAACCCTTACCCCCGCGCCCGCCGCTGCCCGCCGCTTTGTGCGCGGGACCTCCGAGCGCCACGAGGCTCCTGACACAGCTCCCGACTAGCGTCGGCTCCTGCTCAGACAGACGCCAATCGACCAGTTCTCAAGCGAGCGGAGGCGGCGCTACCCGCCGGCCCGCCAGCGACGCTCGCTGCGGGCGCCCCGGCGCGCAGGGCAGCCAGGCCGAACCGAACGACTACCGATGCCGGCAACGTCAATGCTCTCCTTCATGCAGAAGGCGCTGCGCAACCTCCTCGTCAGCGACGACGAGGTCATCCCCGCGCGCGGCTGCTCCCGGGCCGACGGCGTCGCGGAGCCGACGTCGCCCCCCGCGCCGCTCGTCGGCAGCCCCAGCCAACGTTCCGAGTTCAACGATCCAGGTGACCGTCCACCCCCCCCCCGCTCTGCCAAGCGGCACCCATGCCCCCTCGGCCGGCGGAAGCCCACCGGCCGAGCGGCGAACGTGGCCCTCGAGCCAGCCCCGGCGGCACCCGACACGACACTGGCCCTCGCGCCCCGACACGACACGATGACCCGGCGATCCGGTGAGTACTGAGGGCGATCCCTCCGGCCGAGGGCGAACCCTCGGCCCCGCCAAGCGGCACCCATGCCCCCTCGGCCGGTGGAAGCCCACCGGCCGAGCGGCGGACGTGGCCCTCGAGGGCGATCCCTCCGAGGGCCGAGGGCGAATCCCTCCGTCACACGGCTGACGTACGATACGATGACGATCCGGTGAGTACTGAGGGCGATCCCTCGGGCCGAGGGCGAACCCTCGGCCCCGCCAAGGGGCACCCCCCCCCCCCCCCCTCGGCCGGCGGAAGCCCACCAGCCGAGCGGCGGACGCGGCCCTCGAGCCAGCCCCCGTGGCACCGACACGACACTGGCCCGCGCGCCCCCACACGACACGATGACCCGGCGATCCGGCGAGTACCGAGGGCGATCCCTCGGGCCGAGGGCGAACCCTCGGCCCCGCCAAGCGGCGCCCAACCCCCTCGGCCGGCGAAGCCCGCCGGCCGAGCGGCAAACGTGGCCCTCGAGCCAGCCCCCGCGGCACCCGACACGACACTGGCCCTCGCGCCCCGACACGATACAATGACCCGGCAAACCGGTGAGTACTGGGACACGGCTCCCTCGCCCGCAAGCGCCAAGGGACACGGCACCCCCTCCGCCGGCGGAAGTCCACCGGTCGAGCGGCGGACGCGGCCCTCACGCCAGCCCCGTGGCACCCGACATGACACCGGCCCTCGCGCCCCGACGCAACACGCACGACACGATACCGTCACGGTAGTCCGGGCAAGAGCAGTCGCGACACGACGCTCACCCGCAGCGTCGCCCCCCCCGGCAGGCGGCGAACCGCTGACGAGCCCGGAGCACCAGCCTCCCTCGCCACCGCCGAGCGCGCCGGGGACAGGTGGTGACCCACCCCGAGTGCCCGCCCGGCAATCGCGACACCGATACGGGACGATACTCGTAAGGGGAGAGCCGGACCGCCGGCCTCCGCGCCGCAGGTACGCGCTCGATCCTCGACGCGGGGCGGGAGGTGCTCGCCGCCATCACCCCCGCGGGCGCGGACAGCGGCACCGTCCTCCGCGCCCTCTTCAGCGTCAAGTGCTTCGCGCGGATGGCCGGCGCCGACCCGCAGAGCATCGACGAGGAGGAGCCGGATATCGCCGCGAGGCTCATGATCGCGAGCCTCGCGTCGCTGCTCGAAGACCCGATCCTCTACGAGGCGCTTTGCGGCCTCAAGCGCCCGAGCGACCTCGACGGCGTCCGGGACATCGCCATCGCGCTCTACTCGAGGAGCCAGTCGCGCAAGCGCGCCACACCGTCCGTCGAGTCGACACGTGACCGAGGAGGCTACGCCGCCAGCGGAGGGAGTTCGCGCGGAATCGCCCTCTCCGACAGCGACAGCGATGAAGAGGCGTCTCGCGGCGCGCGGCGCCTCCCACTGCTCAAGCCAGGCCAGCTCTCGAGAGCCATTGGCCCCGAGTCCGCGCTCGCCATCCGAGGCAAAGCCGTCACTAGGGCCGTCCGCGTCGCCGCGGCCGAGGGCAAGGCCTTCTCCGCCGACCTCGCCCCGTCGGACGCCAGGACCGACGTCCTGCGCGCGATCCTCTCGAACGGCTGCGTCGACGCCGAGGGGCATCGCACGAGCGCGATGGCGATCCCCTCGTACATCCACGAGGCGCGCAGAGGGCTCCGAAACGAGATCGAGGGCGCCGTCAAGGGACTGTTCCCAAGGGGCGCGGCCTTCTCCGCACCGGCCGCGGATCTCCACCAGCTGCTCATCGATGCCGCAAGCTGCAGCTTCGATCTGTCGCGGCTGCGCGACCTCGCCGGACGCTCGCTCGGCGCCAACGGCGCAGGGACCGACGAACAGCGCGAGCTCGAGCAGGCTCTCCGAATCCTCCGCGCCGTCGCCTCGCCCGTCGCCACGCTCCTGCTCGGCAGCGAGGCGGGACGCGCAGACGCCGGCGCGCTCGCGGACTGGTGCCTGCGGTCCCTCACCGGCGGCGACCTCTCCGTCGGCGGCATCGCCGCCATCGTCGAGCGCGCCCTCGGGGACTACGACCAAGAGGTTGGGGAGTTCATCCGAGGGATTCTCCACCGCCCGCCCTCTTTCAAAGGCGCCCTCGAGGGGTGCGAGGGGCTGATCCAACGAGCACACCTCGAGCACCTCTCCTCCAAGGCGTGCCCGCGCGACGAGGGGCCGTCCGACGGCGGCGGCTCCGACGCCGAGGACGGCTACGACCAGTCCGGCAGCCAGCCTGACGACTCCGAGTCGGGCGACTGCGACACCGACAGCGCTCGCGACGACTCCACGAGCGAGCAGACCGGAGTCCCCCGGTGCCGCTTCTTCGCTGCCGGCTATTGCAGGCAGGGGGACCAGTGCCGCTTCGCGCACTGAGCCGCCCCATCCCCGAGCTCGGAGGGCGAGACCGAATAGGACCGTCACTCACTCAATTTGGGGATCCTTCACGCGCTGCGCTACGCTTCGGAGTCGCTCACCCCGGGATCGCTCCTTCCCTCGCTCCGGTGATTTGGGTAACTCTGAGCTCCCTCCGCGTACGCTACGCTCCCTTCGGAGAGAGCCCCAGAGTCTTACCGCGCTCCGGATCCTCTTTAGCCCATCTCTGAGAGTTAGAGTGACTGGCTAGAGACGACGACGACGATACAGTTCATGATAAACAAACTTCAGTTTGTGCTAGTGAACTGAGGAGAAGCGGGTCGAGCCTCGGCGCAGAGGGCAGCGCCTAGCGGGCGGGAACCCTTACCCCCGCGCCCGCCGCTGCCCGCCGCTTTGTGCGCGGGACCTCCGAGCGCCACGAGGCTCCTGACACAGCTCCCGACTAGCGTCGGCTCCTGCTCAGACAGACGCCAATCGACCAGTTCTCAAGCGACCCACCACCATCCCTCATCTACCGCCCGATCGAATCGCATTCGTCTCTTGCGAGTTCCTCTTGCTCCAAGAGGTTCCAGAGAACGGGGTAACTCTGAGCTCCCTCCGCGTACGCTACGCTCCCTTCGGAGAGAGCCCCAGAGTCTTACCGCGCTCCGGATCCTCTTTAGCCCATCTCTGAGAGTTAGAGTGACTGGCTAGAGACGACGACGACGATACAGTTCACCTCAGGGAAACGCAGGGCGGCCCGCCCGACCGAGCTGCGAAACAACGGCGTCCCCACCAGCCGCCGCTCGACAACCAAACTTTTCTTCGGCGCTGCGCGCCGTTGCAGTCGAGTGTATGTCTGTGTATGTTGCAGCCCAGCTATCGTGCCGCAAAATAGGTCCAGGGGTTAGAAAAAATGCCCTCGAAAGCGCCCGCCGGTGTGTGTCCAAAGATGTAGCGCTACAAGTTGGGGACGCATCCGACACACGGGCAGGTTTTCGCGCTTAGCAGCTGGCCAACGGTGATGATGCCGTCGCGTCACCGACGGCTCGTGCTTGCGTATGATAGCAACCCCTTGTCCGACGGCAGCGTCCTCGCGTCCGCCTCCGCCCGCGCGGCATCATCATTGTCCGCCTACACCACTGCGGCCGCGGCCGCACCCGCGGTGGCAGGGTTTCACACGCGCCCAGGCGCAGGTGCAGCAGCAGCCAGTGCAGCAGCAGCAGCTAGTGCAGCAGCGCGTGATCACGCTTGCACACGCGATGGGCGGTCGTCATGTGCTGCAGGATGGGTCACTTTGGACGCGTCCCATCGGAAGGCCGCCGCTTCCACCCGGCTCCGAGAAGGCACAGCGAGGCGCGGTGCAATCAGTGGAAGCACCATCGGATCAAAAAGAACGCCGATGCTGCCCTACAGGCTGCGCAGACAGTGCTAGCTCTTTATAGCGAGGCGACCAGGCGCGAGATGTTCACTCTCGCGCCACATCCCTACAACGGGGTGCATTGTACCCACTTGCATGTCGGCACGAGCGCGGCGCCGCAGTGGGGCAAACGGGGCATCTGGGGCTAGCTCAGCTATGAGCATCACCTCTGCCGCTTCTCGCCATCCCCGAGGAGCAGCGCGCCCGAAGCAGGTGAGTCACGGCCGCTAGGTACAGTGAGCGCGGCGGGCCAGAAGCGAGAAGGGAACGTCAAGGGGAAAATCAGCAGATTCCAAGATTCAATCTCGTTTGACAAAACCCACACGGAGCTCGGGAGTATAAGAAAATCTCCCAAAATTTTCTTCGGCGCTGACGCGCCGACAAAGCTGGTGTCCAATCCCGACCGCCGGCCAAAACAGCCGCGTCCAGCCCGACCTGCGCGCTGCGGCCGGCCGAAAATCATTTAGTCGGCGGACTTGTAGTGGCGTCCATTTACTCTTTTTGCTTCCTCGAACGGCTAGCAACACACCTTCCTTCCCGTGAAAACCCTGTGTGGCAGCGTGCCGTCCTCTCATCCCTCCTTTGGGTTCTTTCTCTTCTTTCTTTCTTTCTTTGCTTCCAAAACAACTCTAACACTCACACTCTCTTGCTTCCTCGCTCGCAATTCTAGTATCTAGAAGTCGAAGGGTGGCGAGCAGCACTCCCATTTATTTTACAGGCGGCTCAGATCACACAATGTGAATGGTAAGTTGGTATAAACGCGCCTGCGACTACAACAAAACACAACGTGCAGACACGTGTCGTGGAGAAAAAAGAAAAAATGCGCTGAAGGCATCAGGACGGCACGCCGCCACCACACAGGGATTTTAAGGAGAGGAGTGCGGTGCTAGCCGTCGCCCACCCTCGGGCGTCTACCTCTTCCTATCTCTGTTCGGGTGTTTCTCGCCAATTCTCGCAGGAGCGGCCGCTCACTGCTCGGTACCCCCCCTGCACATCTAAAGCCATGGCCGACCCCCCCCCCAGCAGCAGCGCTCTGCTGCTGGGGGGGTTGGGACCCCCCCCCAGCAGCAGCACTCTGCTGCTGGGGGGGTCCGGACCCCCCCCCCCAGCAGGAGCGCTCTGCCTGTGGGGGGTGCTGGCATCTCTGTACAGTCTACAGACAGCAGCTGTAAGTAGCATGCGTTCCAGTGGCGATAATTTATGGTCGGCACCAAAATCAGACAGTGGTCTCACCGGCGGGCCCTCCTACTGCCAACCGGGAGGTGCGGGGCACGCCAGCCTCTCTACGCCTCTCGTGCATCGCGGCGCCTCTGCCTCAAGGAGGGAAGATACGGCTCTTGCAGCCCATCGGCATACGCCGTGGCACAGCAGGGAGCACAGCCTGTACAAGATATTGTTCCCTATCTTCGCATGCTCGTCGTTGGTGATATCCGCGCGAGGTCATACGCCACAGGCCAGCAATCACTCGGTGATGAGACTACTGATTTGGCGCGACGCTCTGACACCGAGTGTGCTCGACGCTG